AATAAAGTATGCATTAAATATGAGTTGACTTTTTTTGCTATTATTTTTGGTAAATAGTATGGCTTTTAATATAAGTATAGATGACAAATATATCTTTAATAAAATACGAGATTTAAAAAAAAATGGAAAGTAAGGTCAAAATGGTCAATTACTACTCAATCAAAATCTCTACCCTACAAATTCCTTCGCAGGGAAAGTGTATGTTTTGTGCAACAGAAGGGAAGAGATAGGAGGTAATGTAAAACAATTTTACATTGGATAAAAAAATAATAGGGGACAAAAAAATACAACAAAATAAACTATTTTACCCTTTATGAAATAGGATAGAGAAACAAAACAAATTGAAGTTTAAGAGTAATATAATTTCCGTGGCCTGAAAATCCACCCCATCAAAATTCTCCAATTTTGAAGGGAGCAAAAGTGAGGATGTATATGGATTCCAACGTAAAATTTTCCTCACAATCCACTCACAATTCTAAACTCGGACAAAGAAAAACTAAGGGCGCGCCTGCTAATTAATTAGTCCGTTCAAAACGAGGTTTGTTAGTTAACTAGAGTTAATTTTACAAAACGGTTGTATGATTAGTTGTTAGTGTGATTTTAAGAATGTATTCAAATTATATTTAAAATAAAATGATTAAAATTGATTTGATGTAAAAGTATGAGATAAATGATTGAAAATAATATGTAGTTAAAATTACATGAGTTGATGGATAGTGATTTAAAATTGATGTGATGTGTAAGAATGATTGATTTATATTATTTAATTATACGGATAATATTTCAGAGAGTGGGGTTGAATCAGATTTTTAGTTTAAATTAAATGTGAGTGAGTTAACTTATAAACAAGCATGCCCTAAAATTTCTCAACTCAAATCCTCCCAACTCCAACCAAACACTATGAAAGTGAGGCCATGAGGGAATCCTACTTAATTTTTCATTCCTCCTCCAACCAAACACTACTTAAATTTCCCCTTCCTCTCCCTTACTCTTTCGTCTGGATCGCTCGAACCAAACGGTACCCAAGTTTTCCAAGTAATTACTATTTTGAAAATTGGAATTTGCAAAAATGTCTCATACATTTTTGAAAGCTTTCAATTTGGGTATATATATTGGAAATTCATTACTTTACAAATAGAAATAACTATTTTCAACTACACCTACACAATATTTACGGGTATTTTGATATCCCTATTCATTTTATTAAAAGTCGTGCCCTTATTTAGAATTATTGAATGTGGTGAGCAACAGTTCTATATGCTTCGTAAGCTTATTTGGCAAACGTTGGTGCTCTGTATTTGCACATGTACATATTTGATTTTGACTATTAAGTTTGAGAATTACCATAAATTGTTTTACCCTTTTTTTTTCTTAAATTACAATATACTGCTCTTATCTTTTCTTGTTTAATTAATATATCAATTATTACAAATATGTATTCTTTTTATTTTTAAAATCTTATAACTTTTTTATTTGTATTTTATTTTTTATATATAATATATTAAAATAATCATATGATTTGACAGTCATACTGCATATATAAAATTAATAATTTCATCAATCTTTATAAATAAAACTAGTTTATTATTAAATCAATTTAAGAAATATAAAATAACAATATAAATTATTTTATAAAAATAAAAATATAATTTATTAATACACCATAAAATAATAATTTTATATTTTTTTCTATATATTTTGGATAAAATATGGAATTTAAGTATTAAATAAAATAAATTTGAACAAATCTTGTAAAATATTAGTTCTCGATTTAAATAGATTATATAAGTAATTGAATGTTATTAAAATAATAAATATAAATGAATGTCATAATTAAAAATAATAAAATAATTATATGTTTTATAAAGTTAGAAAATAATAGATTTTTGTACAAATTAATATTCGAAAATTATATGAGCTTAAAATACATGAAATTTAATAAACTATAGACACCGACTTTACAAACATAAAAGATAATCACAATATAATAAACTTTTTCTGTTAAAAAAAATTAATCATTTCTATGGATTTGTATATAATATCTGTTTAGACATATATTATTTTAAATACATAATTAAAAAAATATCATTTTCACATAACAATAAAAATATAAATTATTTCAAATTTCATAATGTACAAATACTAATATATTTAAGTACTCGTGTAATACACGAGTATCATACTAGTTTTATTAATAGGCATTAGTCATCATTTTTAAATAAACTTTGAATTCTATTCAGATTTTGAGTTGTTGATTCCACTACTGATTTAAGAGAATCACTGAACGCGATGATTCTGACACGTATGATTGGCCATGCCTATTTTTAAACTCAACAAAATGTTGGGTCCAAAGCAAACCCATAAAGAAAACATAATTATAAATATAGATAAAAAATCTGCTTTACGGAAAATTTGCATTTCTAATACTAGGTATTGTTTGACAATCAACGGTTAGAGAGGTGTGAAACATGTTTGATAAATAAGTTGTTTGATATGAGTTGTTATTATAAAAGTTATTTATTAAGCATATTTATATATTCTGATATTTTTATTTATGTTTCAATTACAATTATTTTATAATAATACAAATTGTATTTTTAGTAAAAGATACTAGAACAACATAAATAGAAAAAAAAAAAA